AATTTTCCATATTTTGAAACTGAGACAAATGCTTTATTTCTCGGTGCCGTAACAGGAGAATATCTCCATAAAAATATCTATATAGCATCAGATTTGCTTTGCCAAGGCCAGTAATGGATGGTGATCTCAATTCTGCCATTTTTGTTTTGCTGGACCTTTTTTTTCTAGAAAGTTATGGTTAGAAGATGTCTACATACAGGATGTCAAAACAATAGCGACTGTCTAGACATCAACAATTCTTATATCTTGATTTTTAGCGAACTTTCATATACAATGATCGGCTTTCAGTTTGAAGTGGAAAAATTATTCTAACTGCCTTTCTTTCTGTAAAATTACTGTCGTAACCCTTATTCAAAACAATCCAGCTGCCTCGGCAAATCATAGAAAGCGTAAAAATCGTCTTTACGAATCTTTCCGGAGGGATCAGCCGTGTTAACTTCGGAGATTAACTTGATATGGCTGTGCAAGGCTTGTTCATGATGTGATCGAATTTCTGAGTATCAGAAAAAATTGCTATCACAGTATATCCTACGACTATAGGGGTGTATGTCAAGAGGCGCGATTTGCGTATATTGCCAGATGGACACCGTAAAACATATAATAAGAGTTTTATGACATTCTGAAAGCAAATGAATATGAGAAAGGGATATATTAGATACTTGTATGAGTTGGTTAATCTTGCTGCCTTGAAATCAATTCAAGAAGGCAATTTTGAAGGTCAAAAACCCATGAAAATGCAGTTAGAAGCAAATTCGTAAATATTTCGGTCTGTTTGCAACGAAAACCACCAAACTCAGGAAGTGATAGCCTCAGACAGATAGTAAGCCGACGCACTTTATCTGGTACTTTACAAAGACTCGCGTACTAAACTGGAGTTTTGAGTAGGTGACAGCCGGAGAAATCGCGCCTCTTGGCCGTCTCCCCGACTACATATAGCACGACTTTCAGACATGAAAAGATTTCGTTTCAGAATCAGCGAATTTCATCAACTAGCACTAGAGTTTGTAGATCTTTCGGATGTTTGTTGCGGGATTTAGTCTCTACTAATGCGATTCCTCTATGATATTCACCGCAATCGTACAATAAGCTGTAGGCTCTTCAATATGATAGCTAAAACTCAGCCTCTAAAATCAAGCAGTCGTCACATTATCTGGAACATTTTGCATATGAACTATATCTTACGAGCGGTTTGGGCGGTGGTATGAAGCAAATAGTGAGATGAAGATTCGCATTGTGCTAATTTTAAATGTTTTGTATCTTGCCTATGGTACCTAGAATGTTTCGAAATTCGCGCAGATATTGATGAATTTGAGATCACCCTGTACTATACTCTTCAGTAACTTAACTTAGTATAACTAAGTTTCTTACGGTGTTCGAATACCGTACAACAGTTGTCCAAAATAGAAACTTGAAGGTCTGGTTGTGGATGTTATTCTACGAATTCTACGAAAACAAGTTAAGTTCCATAAATTCTCCAGGTATAGCCTAAGAGGACGCGAATCTGAGAAACATCAACTTTACCAAAGCACACTTCGGCGACACACTTTCCGTTCATCATTGACCCAGAACTGTTCACCGAAGAAATGCACTTTCATGTTCTTTGTCACAATCTTTTCTTCCATCTGTCTGCTCTGCCAACTCACCTAACTCTCACGTCAACAGAGTCTTATCCCTCAAGCATGCTTAAGTTTGTTCCGCTATCGTAGGCAGCAAGATGAAGTGATTATGGAACCGGTTATCTTGAATCACAAGATTTATTTTGTTTGACGAATTCCCGAAGAAGAGCTCTGCAACTTCGCTAAGTAAGCGCACATCCTGCAAGACAGACTTTTTGCTGAAAGTCCAGTTCGTAAAGGCTTTGGACAAGTTGATTTTTACATCTACGAGCCTTTCCTCGCGAATCACCATTTCATTTCATGTTTTCGAGTTTGTAAAGCAGTATTAGTGTTCTCAGGTGGGTTCTGCTTCTCTGAATTCAAAGTTATGAATTTGAGGCTTGGTTATGCGCCATTTTATGTATTCATACTTCTTTACTTCGTGTGCCAGTGCAGTGCTAGCGCCGTGCCAACGCCCACGCGGGCACGCTCTTTATTTATCGATCGACGGTACTGATCGCTAATACGGGGAAATCTGGATGCAAACTAAGGGGGAGAGAAAGGAGTTCCCACTATACGTCAAAAATATCTTAATTTAATCAAAAATATTGAGTTTTCTCGGCTCTTCACAGGGAAATAGCTAAATACTCAACATCCGTTTTAAGTTAGATTTTCTAGAAAATTCTATTTTGGTCGGATTTCCGGGAATTTCCAGAAGTTTAAGGGTTGTTATCTCGCATAAAGCCTTCTAGATTTTCTCAGCATTGCCCTTGTCATCATCGTTTCCTCTCCCCCCCCCCCCTCCCTCCCCCCTCCCCGTCCCCGTCTCCATAACAGGAACAAACGGCGTGAAACTGTTTCCGGACTGGTTCCTTCCAAGTGATGATCTTTTTTACTCAGCGATAATGCGCTAATTTGTACCTGAAAAATAGAATCTTCCTCTGCTCGCCGATTCGCAACTAATCATCAACTCGAAAAATTAGATCTTCATTGACTCTGGACGATTTCGCAGTGATTGTAAACTTCGAGAACAAAATTTCAAGGTCATAACCAACCGACGCTTCGCAAACCCTCGTATGGGCGGCCTGCGCAGTTTTAGTGAATCCGAAACAATAAAACGATGACTATAAAGAGCAACCAAATCTGCGTTGATGTCAAATGACCGAGACGCAGCGTGTTTTGTACTCTTTTCAGTCTTTGATCCATAACTCATCCATTCCATAATATCGATTCGTAATCGTCCAGATCCACGCAATCGCTTGCTAGACAGCATTTGAATCGTTAAAATTATTACATCTTGCTGAAAGATAAGCGTTTCGGTTGTAAAGTTCTTGCTGGGGTAGTTTTTCCGAAGATTTCATTAGGGCCAGAGGTGGGTATAAAACAGCAAGATGAGGAGCTTATCGACGACTTTGGACTCACTATCCTCTAACTTGGTTACGTTCTCCATAAATAGAATCACTAAAGTTTCATCGTTTCCCATACTACTCGTTTAAGTTGTACAGGAGTAAGTAAGGCGACGCTAGTTTTTTGACATTTAGTACAGTTGCACCACAAATTCGGAATTTGGTTTTTCTTCTCGTTGGAATTCGACGAAGATCGAACATTGCCAAAGCAGATATGGTGACTTGAGGGAATCTATCAGTTTGATCTTGAAAACTCTGTTCATGTTTCTTCGCAAAGCTCAAGTTACATTTGAAAGGGTTGGCGTCAAATTGAATTTGTACCATAAAAATGAAAACAGGCTTGACGGTGGGCGCTTCCAAATATAGCGTACTATTGTACTGTGTTTGTACTTGCACAGCAGCCATTTTTGGAAAAAAATCAAAAATTCCTGTAAGGTGTCGAAGCTACTAATTTCGGATTTTTGAATGCTTGGATCCCATGATCAATTCTCCAAAAAATATGACAAAAAACTTTCAGGCAGTGGCTTACAGCGGTTTCGAAATTGGAAATCAAAATCAGTAAAAATAATTGACGTAAATCATCAACAGAGTTGTCAGCTCTTTTTGAGCTCCGGTTTTCGGCTAGATCCGAGCTTGGAAATCTTCTAAAACATACCATTTACCGATAGCTGAATAGTTTATGCTTTATGACCAAGCTGATGGCAGCCTCTCGAAGTGTCACCTCATGCTCCGTGAAGGAAGTTGAAACAGGCGAATGAGTTGCTATATTTTCAAGTTATCCTATTTGGTCCCAAAGTGCTGACAAAACTTGCAACCGACAATTTAGCAAGTTTTTGATACAAGAACCACTCAAAAATGAACTGAAGTGCAACTGCAGCGTCATCATAGCGACCTTTAACCGTTTCACAACTTGTTCTCATGATATCAGACAGCGTTGGCCCAAGAGTGAGTAATCCTATAGGTCAATCCAGTTTCAAAAAATCTGATAGTCCTTGGTTTCACTGAGAAACGTGTACCTCTCGTAGAGGTATGTCTCATCACTGATTGGTGACATTTCACTAGCAAGTATTTGAATACATAGGGGTTCTCGCAAAATTTTACGAAAAGGGAGAAAGTTTTCTATGAAGGTCGTGGCCAAATATTGATAATTATGTTGACCATGGTAGCCTTTGTAACATGCAAGTTTAGAATTTTACAGTGCCTGCTGGACAATACACGTATTGTATTTTTTCCATTACACCTGCCCACTACTTTTCCACGCATCAATTTGAGCGTTCACCCCTCCCCCCCCCCCACTCCCCTATTGACGATTTTACACAATAGGCATTGACATCTGCGAATTCTAATGTATGCTGTGACTCAAGTCATACATCATAATGCTGCCTTTCTTTTCGAAGAATGCGAGTTGTTTCTAGTAAGTTTATTGACTTTTCTTCTTTTCAACCTTGTTGTTTTTCTGCTCATCATTTACTCGTTACTCTGAAGGTTAATTCCGCTTAGCTCTGCTAGGTGGAAGGTCTACTAGAGCAAACAAAATACTACTCCTAAGCCGTACTCTGTGTCCTCAATTCATCTCTAACAATAAGTTGAATTCCGATACTGAACGAATACACGAATCTGAAGTGCACTTGCCGAAAATAACAGCCAAGTTGTCAGTTTAATCAACGTAAATGATAATTAATTACACATATGCTCCTAAAATCTTACAAAGGCTCTTCCTCTAGTTATTTAACTGCCAGAATGTAATCTTAGAAAACTGCCTAAATATAATTTTATAGAGCCCTTTTGTTTCAATTCTCTTACTTTCAGTCCACACCAACATAACGCCCTTGATAGCTAAATTCAAGAATCCTGTCTATATCTTTCATCTTATTTTCCATATTTATGTTCATTTCAGTACAGCGTAAAAGTCATTGCTAGCATTTATTAACTAATTGTCCCATCTGTTACCATCAATGATTATCCTCCAAACACAGATTATTTACATTACCTACTTCAGAGAGCTCAGAACAAAGTGAGCCGATTCTTCCTCAACGAAGGAGACGACGCCCTCACCACGCAAAAATGGCGAAGGAGCTCGGTCTCATCGCCAATCTCAAATCGTAAGTATAAGTTCCAAAAAGTTCTACAGATAATTATTTTGCTTCTCTAATGACAATATCGCAAATGGCGAAACCGCAGCTTAGGTCTTACTCTAATACTGCTTCGTCAAAAAACGAAACATTAGGACGGTCTCAAAATTCTGTCGTTTCATTTTCAAAAAAATATTTTTTTGCGCTCTTTTAATCGATTTGCTTGCCTGTAGTTTCACTGAAAAGAATAATTCCTCCACTTTCAAACTGCCTTGTTGAGCTTCTATTTTATATCGAATGCAGAAATAAAAACAGAAAATTAAGGCCATACAAGCTTTGACCTTTTTGAGTTAGGTCACCGAAAATCTGGAATGCTCCAAAAAAATCGAAATCGTCAGTACATGGGTTTTTTGGCCTACCCTTAATAGTAAAAAAGTGCTGTTTGGATGTCTCTGTGAAAAGTGTCGAGATTGATTAACTTGTCACTTCTCTCAAAAATCATATCTTTTCGAAGAGACGTCCACAGCATAAACTTTTCACTGTTGCGAAGAGTAAGCCAAAAAACTTACGTTCTGACGATTTCGGATATTTCTGGAGTTTTCCAGATTTTTGGTGACTAATTCAAAATGTTCAAGCTTATAGGTCTTTATTTTCCACTTTTATCTCTGCATTTAGTGCAAAAGAGAAGCTCCATAAGAAAGTATTTGAAATCGAACCTATTCTTTCTAATAAAATTACAAGCAAGCAAATCCGTTGAAATAGCGCAAAATTACAATTTTTGAAAATGAAACAGCACAACTTTCGGACCTAGCTAATAATTGATTTTTGCCAACTTACCCTCCTGGTAATTTTCTTCTTTTCACACTGAAATTCAATGTAAAATCTATAGTAATTCTTTTTTCAGATATCCGCCAGCGGTATTTTTGATGCTTGGCAATGAATTCTGTGAACGTTTCTCGTTCTATGGAATGAAAGCCATCCTCACCCTGTACTTCATCTATGAGCACGGATATACTGAGAGGTGAGACAACCACTGTTCGAAACATCGTTAGGAATGGCAAGTAAGAGAATTCGCAGATGAGTAGCAAAGATGTTCAACCAAGATTTCGGAAGGGCCTCTCGAACTTAAAATGTTTCCCGAAGATTTGAGTCGTCTAGGGGTGATAAGTATGATGGAAGTGACATAAAATTATTACAAAATAACCGCTTCAGACGGGTTTTCGTTTTATTTTTCAGCCAAATACATTTCTGTGAGACCTCAAGCAAATTCGCCGAAGGAAATAAAGTTTAGGGACTTATCAAAAAGCACTGGCACAATTTGCACTAGCACTTTTCACGGCGTCAGTTTTTTCGTAATATTTAAGGGACTGGATCAGAGAGTGTACACCTTCAAGGATGAGAGTCCTCAAATGTTAACATACCGTCACAGTTTACCAATTGGATTCGTAATAGTATGTAATAATATATGCAATAGATGTAGAAGATTAATGGTGTTTTATTATACAAGGTGTCCCGAAAGTAAGTACACACTTTTGAAGCGTTAATAACTCTCTTCCACCATATCTTATCCTTACTTTTGAATATCATCCAGCAGAAGAGGCTTCAGCTCAGACTTGGAATATGGAGCGAATTACTTAATTGTTTATTACTGTGGGTTTACGGTGGAAACTTTGAAGAAGGTTTGAGCAATCAGTGGCTACCCCTTGATTCAACTGGCTTGGCGGCTGGAAGGGCTTCGTGACCTAATCAAGGGAAATGATCAGAGAGCACGCGCGCAAGAGAGACGCAGATTGCGTAGTGGGCGCGAGCGGACTTGATAGGTCACAAAGTCAGTTGAATCAAAAGTTACATTGCCTCAGGATGGATACTTAACGGCCCGAAAACTCTGTTATCAGGCTAAACTGAGTCGCTGACTATTGATATCAATTTCGCACTTTACCGCAAAGCTTTTTTTATGAGTTATGCCAAGTAAACCGCAACGACGTTTTTCTCAGTGTTTTCAAGAAAGTGACTGGACCACTTAAAACTCTTAAAATTATAAAGAGTCTTCTGATGAAGTCAGCATATTTGAAAACACTGCTACACAGCTTTCCAAAATTTTTTAGAACTTTTTGTCTAAACGGCCTCACAACGACGCTTTGTGCTGGAAGTTCCTACCGTGATCCTACAGTATTAAAGGGCGATAAGTGATTCGTTTCATACTGTAAATCTAAGTTAAAGCCTTCTTTAATGAATGCTGGAAAAGACTTAGAGGGAAGAGTTTTATTGATGATCAAGAAGTGTGTACTTACTTTTGGGACACCCTATATAAGTAGTAGTAATTCCTCAAGTAGAAACACAAATGAGGTTGAAGTCCTGTGAAAGTTGTACTCAACAAATCCGTTTTTATTCTACTGGTTATGGTACTTGTACGCGCAACCTTGGGATGCAGTTCGAAAATGGCAGTTTCTTTTATCGTTATCCAAACTCTTCCAAATTTAGCAACTAAATTGATAATTTAGCTTCGCCACATTGATCTACCATGCCTTCACCTGCCTAGCCTACTTGTCACCCTTAGCCGGATCCGTTCTTGCTGATTCATACCTCGGACGATTCAAGGTCAGTACCAAGACCGCTAAGGCTGAAAGCTCCTCGTTAGAGATGGAGAAGATCAACAGTCAACAACTCTCTTTTAGGTTATCCTCTATGGTTCAAGTATATACGTTCTTGGTCATGTGTTGTTATCCTTTGGTGCTGTACCGACTATGGGATTAGGTAAGGAATCTTTTTTCGTAAGTAATAGCCGAATACGGTAATCTTTCCCCACAGGGATCATGCGCTATTGCGTCGTTAGCCTTTTGCGTCAGCGCAAGCTATTACGACACTTCGTGGCAGGACCATGTCTGTCCTCTATTCATTCTCTTTGATCACTGCCAATTAGAGATCTTGTACTTATGGCTCTTTGCCAAACAAAGTGAATGAGTAAGGGACAGAAGACTGCGGAGCATATTCGCATGTTTTGAACGCAATTCGACATATAGGTCATTTATAAAATCGTGACGACGGATTTGACTGCGGTCTTTGCGCCCACAGAAGCAGAAAACACTCCTACAAAAAGGCATCAGCTAACCTTTCAGTTCAGACACTTCCACTGTTTAAATCCTATTATATGTAACCAGAAAAACCACCTTAGTGGATATGAAAACCAAGAAAATAGCGATTGCCGGGTATGCGTGCGTGTCGCGCGCGGTCGCGCCATCGTTTCCGAATGCTCTATGGCATCGTTACTTTGATGCATCAATAATAAATAATCTTCCAGCGATGAGATCTATCTTCGACTTCGGTGGTTTGTTCGTGATAGCTATAGCCACTGGTACCATCAAACCATGTGTTTCGGCTTTTGCTGCTGATCAGGTTTGTCTGCGTTGTAACAGCTTTACATTTTTGTTACGAGAATGAAGTAACCTGTTACAGTTCTCCGAAGAGCAGCAGAATCTACGGGCGCAATTCTTCTCGTTCTTCTACTTCGCCATCAACGGTGGCTCATTGCTTGCGATCATTCTCACACCGATCCTTCGAGGCCGAGTGAGCTGCTTTGATTCGCAGTACTGTTTTCCACTAGCATTTGGTGAGTTGGTCTCACTTGGAAAGTCTTGAAGAAATCATAAAAAGACTGTGGTTTGACGATTACTAAAAAGTCACAGGATACTCGCTCATGATGCAATCTATGTCAACCACGTCCTCCTTTTTCGTAACAATTACGCATTCGCAGCGCGCGGCCATTGCGCATCGACCCGGCTGGGCTCTGGCGTTGCGCCTGAGCTGATCGGAAAGGGAGCACATCGTTGACACAGACTGTTTAGTGAAATTGATGCGCTGTAGTGATCTTGCGGTGCCGGCAAAGTTTGCGCGTAAATAATTGCCTGGCATAATTCCGAATTCTGTGCCCTACGCTCATTTTTTCGCTCTGAAGGATATCATCCATTTTATTGTATTGACGCTGCCTTAACAAAAAAGACCATCAGATTCGATTTCTTTGCAGGAGTACCCGGAGTGCTGATGGTGGTGGCCCTGCTGTTCTTCCTTACAGGATGGAAATGGTACAAGAAATACCCGCCAAGCAGAGAGAACGTGGCTTCTGCTGTGGTGCGATGCATCTGGACAGCAGGATTACGATCCATTTTTGGGTAGGTAGAGACCAGCAGCTGGTAATGAACTCACTAGTCGCTTTAGACGTTCAAATAAACCAGTGGCGCATTGGCTGGATCGGGCTGCTCCCGACCACAGCCAAGAGATAATCCAAGCAGTGAAATCGTTTGTGAACGTAGCTGTCATATTCGGTCCTTTGGTGTTCTTCTGGGCTCTTTTTGACCAACAGGTACGAGGTTCTTCAGTGGGCTAGGCTACAGGTAATATAGGGTAGCAATTAAGGGTTCCACTTGGGTTCTTCAAGCTCGCCGATTGGATGGCCGCATCGGATGGATTAGTGTATTACCTGAGCAGATTAATATCCTCAACCCGCTCATCGTTATTATCATGGTTCCCATTTTCGAAGCATTTATTTACCCAGCTGCAAGAAAGGTTGATTGAAGACGGGTACAATGCTGTTTTCTATACAAGGAAAATCTAGGTTTTGCGCGTCACTCCACTTAGAAAGATGGCCGTCGGAGGTCTTTTAACCGCCGCAGCATTCATCATGGCTGGTCTTCTACAGGTAGGCTCTTGATCATTCATAAATGTCATTTCATCTGACAAATTTGATTTTGTTTGAGTCTCCCAGACACATAGGTCTAAGGCCTAAGGCATACCTCACGCGATTTGGCCAAATCGCCACTTTCACGCAACTTGGCGATTTGCCAGATTTCTACAAATTTATAATGCGCGCTTCTCGAATGCATAGACGGGTAGCTTGTGTGAATTGTTGCAATCGGGTTAAGTTCTGACCAAAGGAAACGCATTAATGACGAGTTACAGAGAGTCGCTGTTGTGCCAAATCGCGCAGCGACAGCAATCGCGCGAGGTATGCCTTAGGCCTTACGACTAATAATGCCTGTGCGGTGCTAACAACATTTGCGCCGAAAATTGCCTGCTGCTTGCAATGTCAAGGCGTTTGCGCTCGAAAATGACAAACACATTTTTGAATTTCGCGCCATGGGCCCACTTTTCACGCGCGAATGTTGCGGTCACCGCAGGGGGTTGATATTTGTGACCGCTACTTAAGAGACTCGTAGTTCTGGACTTGATTTAGCCAAAAAAATTCTTTTACCTGCTCTCTCCGAAAATATTTCTTTAGCTGGAAGTTAATAAAACGATGGAATCTCCACCCGCTCCCGGTCGAGTATATCTGCAACGCATTGGAAACGCTAGCAATGTGCACTCGTTCCAGCGTTTGGGCGATGTTGCCACTGTCATAGGTGGGTACTAGCTTCTACAGCTTCCGGACAGATTAGAATGCTTGGGACTCTTACATGGTAAAGTTTAGAGCCTTAAGTGGGCCACTGTTCGTGACAGCTGCGTTACCTGTAGTCGAAATATTCAATTTTAAACTGCTGTCCGGTACCGTACCCGATGACACCGATCCCTCATTCGGAGAGTGGGGTAATGGGCAAAAGCTAAAGACGATTTCGAAATATGAATAATTATATGAACTCGAGGTCTCTTGAACAGTTTCTACATGAGAAGAGCCTACATATATTTCATTACATTGTGTTCAAGTTAGTTGTCTAAAACGCCGTTTTATTCTCATCGTTTTCTAGGAGATCTACCCAGAGGCAGAACTGAAATTGACGCTGGTATGTACAGTATCCAGGCTGGAGGTCAGGTAAGAATGCGCCCATTGGCTGTTTAGATACCGCTAGGACAACGCTGAAAATGATTTCAGACGCATACTGTAGATCTTAGCGTTCCCGAGAAAGGCTACGTTGTTGGCTTATTCAATTACAACAGCACAAGGTCAGTTTTGACGATAACCGAAAAAATTTTGAATGCGATTCTAGCAATGCATATCTAAACGTTTTTTAGCTCCAAGGTCTACACATTCATGTATGCGACGGAAAAGACTGACAATGGTGCGTCGCGAGTCTATTTCATGGTACCGGAAGGTGACGCTGGTCGGGTGTTCGTTGTCAACTACAAGTGAGTTTTTTCTTTTCGACTCTACTTTTTCTTTGCGAAGACACAACCGCTCACTTGTTGTCGCTAATGTACTTGCTTCAGAGACAAAGTGATTGCACAGCAGAACTTGTCCTCTGGGAACTTCCTAGACATACGACCTGGATTCTTCGATAGTGGAAAATACATGCTTTATTACGGCAAGGATTGTGAAGGGACGTCTTGTCCAAAGAAGATTCCGTTTACGGTAATTTTTGAATCGCACCAACTGAAATAGATTTTCTCATCAAGGAGCGGGCTTAGAAATTACATAGCATTCAACTGAACCGTCATATGAACGCTTAACAATATACACAAGGCCATCGAAATGAAAAATAAGAGTAACAAAGTACTCCACAGCAGTAATTCTATGAATGAATCCACAAACATCTATTCTTTTGTCAAAGGAATAAAATTCACACTTTTTTGTATAGTTTAGTGATTTTGACTTTGTTTGAAGAGAATATAATAGGATCTGAACTATGGCTGAGTCGGAGCAAAGACTCATCTCCTTGAAAAAGTGGCATTTATAGGAGTTCAAGCTCGCTACATTTGTGTTTTGCAGATACATTTGCATTGAAAAGAGAAGTATATAAAACTCGTGACCGAAAAAACAAAAACGGAATACATGATTAAACATTCCTTCTAGAATTTTTGCAGAAAGCAACTAGTTGTAAATTATGAGTTTGCGCAGTCCGCAAACCATGCGAAAAGGGAATTTAGAACACGTGGCCTCAACCACTCATTTTCGAAAAATTTCTGGCACCTCTCCCTACCCTCAGAAAAATCTTTACCCTACGATCTACAACGTTCATTCTATCTATTAGGTTGAACACTAAGTTTTGCATCTTTTCTCATAACTTCCGTCTCACTCAACATGGTGCACTCAAATTTTGCCACTGTTTTGGTTATTATGTATACTACAAGCGCAGCTGCTGTTATACCAAATTCTGACGTCGCAGTGAGGATTACGGTAGGTGTATGGTACGAAGGGGAAAAATAGTTTGACGGATTTGGCTGAAACTTGGCATAGGTGTGTTATCCGACATGCTGATCGCGAAAACGATAGTGAAATTAATTTGATAAGGGCTTTTTTGTAGGAATACTGTAGGTGTACGATATGAGGTCTCACCCTAAACAAGGAAAAAGGCGTTGATTCAACAAATGAATATGATATTCGCATTAGGCAGGTCAAATAACCTTACTATTTGAAGTCTCGGCGGAATTTGAGCTTCGGACTCTTTAGTCATTGACGGTCGTCCTCAGCAGCTCTTGCGTACATCGACTCGTTCGACTTTATGAGGACGCCAAATCTCGACATGCCCATAAATTTTGTTTCTTTCTTGCTAGGCCAAAGGAGTCAACCTCTTGCAATAATTTGTAGACGAATCCGGATTACTGCGCATGGTCTAGGCTGTCAAAGGCTTCATTTTAGCTTGAAACTCAAAAATTCTCAAATTTTATTAGTTTTCGAAAAATGCCTGAAACTTTTCTATTTTGTGTTCAAAATTCAGACAATTTGTGCTCTCTTGTAGCACACATTGCATTCTACATGATGCCAAAGTTTGAGTGCGCCATGTTGAATGAGAGTGAAGTTATGAAACAAGTTGCAAAACTTAGTGTTCAACCTAATAAAATACTCAGGCTGCCATGGGATCTGTGAGAGTGCTACACATCCATGAAAATTCCAGCGAAGCAGACTATCAAGAGCTGGTAAGAATCATCATTCGTTTCCAACGTATAGGCTAGCTTATCTCTCTATAGGTACGTCCAAACACTGTATCAATCCTGTGGGTTTTACCACAGTACTTCGTCATCACCATTGGCGAGGTCCTGTTATCAGTTACCGGTCTCGAGTTTGCCTATTCGCAGTCCGCTCCTAACATGAAAAGTGTTTTGCAGGTAATTTTGAAAAAAATTGCATGAACGAACTTCGCATGAAGTTTTTTTTTCTAGGCGTTATGGCTGCTAACGGTGTTTATGGGCAATGTGATAGATATGGGCATCAGTGGAACCCACATAATTCCAGAACCGGCAATGGAATTCTTTTTCTATGCTCTGCTTATGATACTCACCATGGGAATATTTATAGTGCTGGGTCAGTTTATAGCGAATTTTTGGCGCAATTTCAGCGATCAAACTATCCTTCAGTAGATCTGATGACAATTATTGAGTTATATAGTGTCCTCGCAATGTCGACAACATAAAAAATGACTATGAGGCTCAAACAAAATATGCACTTAACTGCAAGTTTTCCCGCGCAAGTGTTGTTGACACCTCAAGCGCACTATAACAGTTGCTACAGCTATTAGGTCCTTTCGTAAAATCTGCTACATTTGACATTAAAATTTTCTAGAATTTTCTCGAGAGGTTTCTGCACACGTACATATTGCATATGAAAATCATTTTTTGTTTTTTTTTTTGAAATTTTCTGGTTCATTTTGGCTATTTTGGAACTTGCATTATTGGAGCAAGCTTCAGAACCGCTTTCACTAGTGGCTCCCGAAAGACCATGAAAATTCCAAAAATGTTGAGAAGAACAAGAGAATTTCAACGAAATCTAAAAAATGAAGGTTGGAGTGCTGTTAAGAAATGCCTCGTTGATAACTCCCTTGCTTTCATGTCTTTCGCCGAGCTTGAGGCACCATTTTGTAGAGCGAGGTTCAACTTAAATCTTCAGTTTGGAGCGAATCACCGGTCGCTCTTCGTTAGTGTAGGATTACGGTAGGAACTTCGACAAGGATTTTAGGCCACTGGAGGCCATATCCTCGAACAAAATCAAACAAAAAAAACTCTTATACTATGGTAATGAAGCTGCTGATTCGAATATGAGACTTCCACTTTACTATGATGCTTCTTTCCAAAGTTATCCAAGGTAAACATAATAAGTGAATTCCCAGCATTCGTCAAAAATATGATTACGCCGTCAAAAAAGCTGAAAACATTCGTAAAAAGTTGTGCAGTGGAATCAGCATGCGCGAAATTCCTAGTACACGATTTTTCAGATTCTTTGAAACAAATTGTGTCTTATGGCATATTTCACAATGGTTCCACATGGTGAAAGTTTTTACCGTAATCATACAGTAACGAGGAGCGATTGATGATTCGCTTCATACCGTACATCTAAGTTGAACCCCGCTTTACAGAGTGGTGCCTCAAGCTTGGCGAAAGACATGAAAGCAAGGGAGTTATTAGCGATCAAACAGTGTCCACATTTATTTGGACACCCTGTATATACCGTAACTCATGTCCATAAAGGCGGTACTTTAGATAGCTCTTGATCCCTTCCCCATATATGCCAAATATGAGACTTTGGCGGTATTTTACAATTCCAAATAATGACGAAGAAAGTGTAACAAAACTCAAGACATAATAAAAGAATTTTTCATGATCTATTCGTTGTTATCCGTTTTACTTTCAGCTATGCGGTACACATACGTCGAAGATGTTGAAAATGATCAACCGATGCAGGAAAAGAAACGGAAAGCCTCTGAAGACACAAATTGTTAGCCGCATATCGCTATGGCATTTTCAAATGCTTTAATCTATGTCGCTGCTCTGCTCCAGCTCAAGCCAATTCGACAACAAGTGCTAGTGAAGATTCCCGCAAAAGCAGCGAATTTCAAGTCAGAGGTTTAGCCAATGGCGAAGAGCTGAAGACACCAACGAGCATTCTAACAACGTGTTCTTATGATTCTTAACTATAGACTATGGCTAGCTGTCCTACAATACCACCCGTAATTTGTGAAAAAAAATGGCGGCGGCACTTAACTTACGCGGCGCCGCCGAAGTTAGGTGACTTTTGCCGCGTCGCGCGGCAAAAGTCGGCGGAAAAGCGGCCAAAGTCACCTAACTTTGTCGCGCAACGCCTAACTTTTTATAAAAAAAGACCTTATCTTGATTCAAAATTCATGAATTCTATATATAAGAGTACCATTCAACTCAGCTCGGCGAGGCGCATCTTCCAATATACGGATGTGCCTAGTTGTGGGATATAAGTTTCTTTCCTGGAATTTAAATGTAAATGGACCATTCAGTGTGCTTATTCCAGAGGCTACGTACACATTCTATTGAGCACAGCAGAAATAGGGCAGGTATAGTTTAAGAGCTCATTCTGCATGGATATATGTGAAACTGGGCAGCTCATTCTGCATGGATATGTGTGAAAGTGGGCTTTTCTCGGCGAAGTATGACGGGTCCCAAAATGCAGGAAGACAAAGGGAAATGGTTGGAAATCGCATGAGAAGCACATATCGCGGAATGCCGCGCGTGCTGTGCAATGTACAATACCACTCACAGAACGGGAATTGCGCGAAATTCCAGAAGTTTCGCGATTCCGGATTATCGCAAATTATGCAGCGCCATAACTTCCTTCGGAATTAATATATTCTAATTCGAAAGCAGCACTGTGTTCATCTCGTGAAGGCGAATCTTTCTACGTACATCATGTCATCAATATCTTGTTTTCAGTTTTCTCAAATTGTTCTGAGGAGGTCCCTTTGCAAGTATGTAACGCAGCGCCTATCCAACTTGAAAGCTTCCAGTAAGCACCATTCGATAGTGCTCTTCTTGTGCATTATAGTGCGCTAGTAAGCTGCCGCAGACTTCTTTTCAAAAGAGAAAAAAGCGTTGGTAAATTCTGGAAAAATCACTCGTTTCCAGATTCTACTTGCCGTAACTTTCTTTGGAGTGGATATTTTCTGAATCCGAAAAATGCATTGTGCTCAGCTCATCAAGGCAAATCTTTCGGTATGCAGAATGTCCTTGATATCTCGATTTCAGTATTCTCAAAACTTTCTGCGGACGTCTCTTCGCAAAGGTGTGAAGCAGCGCGTATTGCCCCCAGTACATTCAGAAAGAAATTTTCAATAGTACTTCTTTTGTAGATTATGGAGCGCTAGAAAGTAGCCGCACACTCCTTTTCAAAGGAGTTAGAAGGGCTGGTGAATTCTGGAAAAATCATGTCCTTCTAAATTTTTCTCAACGTAACTCTAAAATATGAAGCTCTCTTGCTAAGCAGATGTGATTTTCGTAACCAGCAGGTCGGATAACCACTATGAGCAAGTTTTCCGAGATTTTCGGGTCATTTCATTTTTTCTCGTTTTACGCTCTGGAAGCTCGCCGATGGATTTTGGTCAAAATGTTGATGCTCCTGGATTGTAAGGAAACTTCGCTTATAGAGGTTTTCGAACACGCTCTTTACGAAAATCGTGGTCTTTGAGGATTGCAGGGTCTTTTTGGTGAGATACGGTGAGGTGACTGTAACTGCATCACGAAAGTGCGTAAATTGGCCCGCACTTCTCGTGTATCTGTCAGCAACCTTGCCTGCTTGCTTTTCTCAGCCAAAGTTACTAGGAACTGCGCTACCGAATGGTGCATGAATCAGGCTCTAGTCTGTAAAAATCACCGAGTTACGAGCCTATGAAAACACGTTCTCATGAATTTTGCCCAAATTGTAAAGATCGCAAATCTCGTCGAAATTCCACCGTGAGCGCTTGTACAACACGCTGATCAAAATCTTTCGCGTCCTTAATGGAGTACTCTGCGTTGATACCACTGCTT